TGAACAAATACTTAATACAGCATGGGATTGTGTTGATGCTATTATTAAAGTAAGTTAAAAAAATAACTCTTGTTTTTTTTTTTTTGCTTTTGGTTTATAAGAAAGAATATATATAGGATATGGATCAACTTGAATTACAAAAACGTTTACCAGTTGTTCGACAAGCATTACGTATTGCACAATCAAATAGTCGAGAACGTGGTCGACTTGTTGGTTTATGTATACCGAAAAAGGTTTTATTTCAAATCAAAAATTTGTTGTTTGTTGAAAGTTACTGTTGTTTTTTCTTTTTTTGTTAATAGGGTATTGGATGCATACTACCCATATATAAAGAATGTATTCTTAATGGTCCTCCAGAATTACGTGAATCTGGTGCAAATGGTTTAAATGAAGCAATTAATCTTTCAGAGTAATAAAAAGTTGATTTCTTTTGTATTAACATTAATCGTGTTTTTTTTTGTTTTCTTATAGTGCTGAAGCTCTTAAATCATCAATTATGAATGTAACAGGTCCATTAATTCGTGTATTAGGTGAACGATTTAGTACTGATATTAAAGTAGCTATTCTTGAAACATTAAGTACATTTATGGGAAAAGTAAGTTAAACTTCTTTTAGAAATAGATATTTACGGAAATAAGAAAAACAAAGTAACAGAATTGTTAGATCTTTCGCTTATATATCTAAATGATATTATATAGTATTAAATGTAAGATTAAAACTAAAACATCTTATATGAGATGATTTCCATCATTGCAGAATGAAATTATAATCAAAAGCGAATCCCGATCAATTCTATAAATAATACTTAATTGTACTTAACCAAGTCATTACCATCTCAGTTGGATGTGGATGACGGTTAGAGTCTTCACTTTACCTCCATCTACTCCCTTTAGTTTTGCTAATGATGATGAAATCTATTATCTATAATAGATCAAATTGTTTTCCAATTTTTTCTTTGTGCTACTTTGTAAGTATGTTTGAATTGCAAGTCATTATGTTAATTATCATTATTAATAAAATCATTTTTTTTGTGATAAAAATAATTATACTGTGTTTAAACGTTCCTTCTTCCCTCAAAACTTGATATTGGGCCAGAAATATTCCACTCGCATGAAATTCTTGGCATATGTTGGAGCTGTGGCGGAAAGGCTATGATAAAATGTTGAGCCCTATGCCATGACGTTTGAGGAAGAAATTCAACAAAGAAGAGTCAAAAATAGCTCTTTTGGCAATTCAAAATTCTCGTTAAGCCTTCATTCTATACATTTAATTTTTTTTAAAGAGCACACAACGATGCAAGGCATAACATAATCTTTTTGTTTAAATTCCTAATGTTTAAGGACAAAACAAGGATGCACAGTTAAATGTCTCAAAAGTCTCTCAAAACATGAGGCCCTAATTATAAAAATACTCTGTTCTATAATACTAATAAAGCTTAATTGAAAAATAGAGACTTTCTCGTGTCCTACAGCTTGACAAACTCTTTTATAAACAAAAAAAAGCCTTCGAGAGTTTTCAAATGCAGGATAAAAAATAAATGAGATGTCAAGAAAAAAAAATTTGTCATTTATGAAAGATTAGATCATGGTCTATCTTTACATGCATATAGGTTAATTTTGATCATTCTCATGAGAAATGACTTTTTTTTGGGGAGGGGGGGGGGGGGGGGGGGCAGGGGGAACAGCCAGGTAACAAAATCGATATTTGAGATTTGAACATATATCAAAGCTGACATTGAATCTACTATGGTGCTGTATTTAAGTGAATCCTGAATGTTAGTTTAAGATGAGTGTCTGATAAGAAGCAGGTATCACAAAGTACTTAAAATAGGAAAAATATTATGAATAGGACCATATAAGTAAAATACATGTTTTTAAATAAGAATCTGACAATATTCATTAGGTATTAAATAATTATACAGTGTTATATGTTAAAAAAAATTACCAATGGTCAATAATGCAATTATTTTTTCGGATTTTTGTAGAATTTTAATTCAAGTTTTAGTTTGTTCTTTCGTACAGTATGTCATCATCTATTTTCAATGGATGTGCACTTAAATCCTTATTGATATACAATGTCTCAAATGTAACCTTCTATCAAAATTTGTTGGCAATTTTTATACAATGATGACTTATGTTTCTAGTCTATCATGTTTTGAATTGATCGATCCTTGGACAAAAATCTTTTCCCCTCTTAAAAAAAAAACTTTTGTTCGAGTATGTAAAATGATTCGTTTCATATATTTATAATTTGTCTGTTCGTAAAAAATACATTGAGTTACACGATCTTTTTAAGTTTCGTTCGATAGAAAAAATATTAGTGAAAATGAATAATTTTCATAGTAAAAGCTAACAAAGGCTTCAACAGATACTATGAATATTGTGAAATTTAGGTTTTAGAACAAAACTTCAAAAAATAGTATAACATTTGAATTAGATAATTTCATCTTTATTATTTGTTGTCTCTAAGAATTCAACTTTTAGAAAGAAATTATTAATAATAATCTACTTCATGCTCTTTGAGTATAATTATCCTATGGCAAGTTTATACCATACATAGTTAATAATTGTATCAAGTATATGAAAAGAAAATTCTTGTCTCATTTTTTGCAAAAAACTATTATAATATAGCAACTACGTTTTATGGTACTAATTCGTAATTTTCGACAGCTGAAAACTTCACTTTTCAGATAACTTTCAAGGATAATTATGAAAAGAGTTATATCACAGAAATAGTTAATGCAGATGCTGATTATGACATTGATATGAGTGAATTCATTTCCTTGTAGAGATGTAGAAATGGCTCATTCATATTGAATGACAAAAAAAAACCAGTGTTAATTTGATTTTTTTTCTTGCAGTTTTGTTGTTATTCTATCTGTATAAAGGTGAAAATCTACTTTTGATGAATTTGTTTTTGAAAAATGAGTCATTTCGAGAAATGATATGTGATCAGATACTTCTAAAGGCAGCTATTTCTTTGATTGAAATCAACTTTTTGATTCTCAGGATTATATTGTAAAATAAAATAATTCGATAAAAATATTATTCATTACAAATGGATCAAAAATGACTCAAAATTATCGTGAAAGATTGCTAATTTCACATCTAAAAATAGAAAATTTTAATTATACTTTGAAATTGAAGTTGATATAATAAATAAAACGCTCTAAATATATTATAGGTTGGTGTTCAATTAAAACCATTTTTACCTCAACTTCAACCAACACTTCTCAAAGGTCTCAATGATCCAGCACGTCAAGTTCGTGTTAAAGCTGGCAATGCTTTAGGATTACTAAGTCAAATTCATGTACGAATTGATCCAATATTTATTGAACTTTTAAATGGATTAAAAATGAACGATGATTCATCATTCAAGTAAAATATTTCATTTAAAAACTTTTCTTTTCTTTTTTTTTTTTAATAATTTTTATTTTTGTTATGTTTATTATAGAGAAACATATTTATTAGCATTGAAAAATTGTTTAACAGCAGTTGCTTCAAAGATATCTGATGATGTAAAAAAACAAACTGAACAAACACTAGTCACTTGTCAATCAAATGAAAGTGATGTTGTTCGACAATTAGCATCGAATTGCAAAGAAATTTTATTATCACCTAATTAGAACTTAGACAAGAAAAAAAACACAAGAAGAAGAAAATATTAACATTAACACCAAGTTTTGTTTTTCCATTGTTTGTTTTTTTTTCTTTTTTTAAATATAACTTTGGTGTTTTGTTGAATATGATGAAATAAAAAAAAACCAAAGGGAAGGGTTTTTCAACGTTTAATAATATTTATTAATTCGATAGATAATCAAATGAATATTTATTTTTAACAATAATTAACTTGAAAAAGAAAAAATAACATAAAGTCAGATGTTTGCGTGACTCTAATTTATGATAATTTACAGATTGTTTGAAATAAGAAAAATTATTCATGAGAAAATATTTATCTTACAGTGGAAAATATATGACTACTTATTAGTATATAAAAATAATCTAATTCGATGATGATGACGCATGTTAGAATGTTTAAACTTTAAAGTATTGCTCGGTACATATTTTTCGTACTTGAATGCAAACGCAAATAGCAAACCATTCGAATCGAATGATAATAGAATATACATCACCTTTCAGGATTCTGTAATTATTTTTTTTTATAGAGTTGATAAGTCTCAAAAATAAAAGTCAAATATAACCATCAGTTAACTTGATATCATTTTTGTATAACAAGAATATCAATAGTTTTCATTTCAATAGGTTTTTGTTTAGTTTTGCTATATATTGTTTATCAATTTGAAGTGATACTTTGATAAAACCATTCAAATAGTTCTTTTATTGTTTTATTCTATGCATCATAAATTTTACAGAGATTATGACATTATGGTTTATCATTTAGTTATATCTTGTGCAATGAAAATGATACATAACTAAAAGTAATAACATATGCTTTTTTTTCTTACTTCCATTATTCAACAATTGAGAAACCTTTTTTAATGAGTTTTTACGCCTTACTTTTCCATCTGTTAACCTTTAGTTATCAAAATATGCAAAAACATATCAATAATTAAAACATTTCTGATATATTTTTACATAAAATATAAACGTCTAGAAAACAACTATATTAGATCATATGTCACGCATTGCAGTCATCCAATACAGAACAAGAAAAGCAACAAAAAAAATACGTTCTTTTACTATATAAATAGAATCTGTTCGCTCTTTTAGTTTTTTTTTCTTCCGACGTTGATAATGTACACATATCCTTTCACTATTTATCCTTTTTTTTAATAGAGATATACATCTGACTGACAACCAATGAGAGTCATAGGTGTTTTTCTTCGTTTGTATTTGCAGCGTCTTCTTACTGATAATTGCTTGCGAATCTAGGAGAACGTATTAAACTATGATAGAAGCACATAACAAATTCTTATCTAATGCTTATAGAGTACATATTTCACTCTAGGTTCGTATTTATTTGATAAGAAGCGGTTTACAATGGCAATGAAAGTAAATCAAAACATGACCTAATATTTCAAAAAAGAAGCTTGAGTTATTTTAGGACACAAATGAATCAAGGTGTAAATTCATTCGTAAAATAGTTGGACTGATTTGGATTGTTATTGAAGCCAATCTAGTTGCAGGAAAGTATGTATTTCTATTTTAAAAAAATTATATAACAAATAATTATATTTCTTCGAATAGTATATTTGGATTTGGATCTTTATTCAGTGTATTACCTCAATATGGTATATATGAATCTCGTTGTAAAATAATATCTGAAAAAATTATATCAAATGACACTAAAACTATAACAAAAGATTGTCGAGGACAAATTGATGAATATCAGGTTAAATTAATAATTAATACCATGAAATAAATATGATTAATTTTAGTTTGCTTTTGCATTAGGTATTGGTTTTTATAATTTGCCAGCTGTTGTTGTTGGAGTGATTATATATATTTTTGGTCCACGTACTGTTAAAATAATTGCTATGTAAAAAAATACATATATTTGTTAAGAAGTTTTACTAAATATTTCATATATTCTTTAGTATTTTTCATTTAATCAGTTGGTTATCATTAGCATTTCTAGCACCTGGTGATACTTAGTTATTTAAGATTATTTAATATTTTTATTGTTTTAAATTAGGTTATGATTGGCTTATTCTATCACATACAATATTTTCAGCTCTAGCTGGAATTTGTGTTTTACTGTCATCATTTGCAATATCAGCGAATTTTACTAAAACACGAGGTTTAGTTACGTAAGTCATTCTAGTTATAATTCGATATTTTTTTTATAATTTTATTTCTAGAGCATTGATATCTGGTGCTCAAATTGGTGGTTCTGTTTGGTATGCAATTTTTCAAGTAAATTTTCTAATGTTCAATATTGATATTTAAATGTTTTCTTTATTGGCAAAAAAAAAAAAAAAGATTTTGATTGATAGAAAATGGATTTCACTATCGACATTAGGATTTATTTGGGCTTCCTTTTCAATCTTGATGTTTGGTAGTGCAATGTTTTTTCTTGATTGGCATGTAAAATGTGGTAGTGCATCGAATAAAACAAAATCATCAACAACTGAAGATGGTGAAAATGAAATTTTAATTATTCGTTTTTATAATATGTATTTATTGTTTAGTTACAATAAATACATCAGAAGATTCTTTAGCTCAATATTTGACAAATCCAATTTTTGTTGTTGTAACACTTTTTCTTAGTTGTCTTCTTCTTACTGTAGCATATTTACCTGTAATTTGGTTTCCATGGGTTATGCATTTAACTGGATATAATTTAAATTTAGGTTAGAATCAATTTTTAAAATTAATATTTCGATGTTTTTTTTTTTTCATTTTAGCTAATCATTTTACATTCTTGTTTAATATGAGTGCAATATTATGTATATTTATTGCACCAATATGTGGCTTAATTATTGATTATAAAGCCGCTCAAGGTTTGTAGACAATTGTGTTTGTTTTGTTGCAGAATATTGTGAAAGAAAAGAATGAATGTTAAGTTTTAAGTCAAAGTTTAACGGCCCTTCACAAATTACAGGCATAAGCAATTGAAGAAAAATGAATTGAACAAAAATTAAAGACATCCGGTTGAGTGTTCTAGAATATTCTACAGCCTTCATCGAAATGGTTGAAATACGTTTGTCAATATTTTTTAAAAGTGCAGTTTTTAATTTTTTCGTAGATAAAAAATTATATTCAAAATATTAAGAATGATATGTAATGATAAATTGATTTATCGTAGTTGTCATATAATCAGCATAAAAAGAGCATGAATTGATCAAATTAGAACTTTGGATAATAAGTAATATCAGTGTTTGTGGATTGATCGAGATATATAATAGCATCTTAAGAACTATTGCTGTAGATTTGATAGATATGTACAACAGATGTATTTGCCATTTAATTCAATACTTAGAAAAATAATAAAAAGAATCTTAAATTAATATAAACAAAAAAAAAGATTATGTTCGAAATGCAGAAATAAATAACAGAAATCTTTACTTTGTTGATCAATTATTTTGGAAAAGGATTATAGTCTATGAGACATTTCTCACTTTAGCTATTCTATATTAGTTTATTAAGACTAAATAACTTATGTAAATTCCACATTTCAGTGACAAAGGACACAAGGCTAACAAACATTATTTATATAAATTTTTGTTCAAGGTTATTCTCAGCGAATACTTAATATTTCCATATTACAAACAATATCTTGGCTAGCAACAATAATACTTTGTATTGTTTGTATGTTTCGATCAATAGCTGCTCCTATAGTTGCTATAGTGATTTTTCTTTTTTCACGTACAATGCTCGTTGCTGGTTGTCAAGCTGTTATCACTAGAACGTAAACATAGAATAAAATTTTGTGCACTATAATCTTGATGTGTTTTTTTTTCTAAAGATTTCCACCTGAATATATCGGTACTCTCCTTGGAGTAATGTGGACAACAGCAGGTATTGTTAGTTTTGTTACATATGGTCTAACACGTCTTGCAACAGATCCAATATATGCTTGGAGAGTAAATATTATCAAGTAAAGCTTTGTGCAAAAATATGCATTTTTTACTTGATTTTAGGCATGGTTAGTGATTTTATGTTTGTGTATCGTGATGGTTGGACATGTAATTCAACTTTGGAGTTTATATTTAAAATCGAAAAAAGAAACAAAAAAACAATTATCAACAAATGAAGAAGAGATGAAAACACTTAAATCATCGATTGATCAATAGACTTTTTTTGTATTGTATTTTGATCTCAATGAAATAAAATATTATAAATACCAATATTCAATTTCAAATAGTTACTAGAAGGTCTATCTTATTTTGTTTTGATGTTTACTTGCTATCTTGTGCGGAGAGATACAATGTACTATAGAGAGACGTGAAAAAGGAATGATAAGACAAATTCTTTTAATTCTAATTGAAAAAAATAAAGTCTAGCATTGAATTACTTCGTCATGCATGTTTCATTTCATGAATAAGAATGACGTATGGAATAGAATGTGAGGGAAAAAAAGAACTACGTGATAAAACTATTCTATAATCAAATATAAAGTTGAATCCTTCTTTCATATTGTATTACATTCGAATAAACGAGACAATGTCGAAAAATATATTATTACTATTCATTATTTTTTATTATTGTGTAAGTTTACTAATTATAATATTTATTTTAAAACATTTTATATTATAATAGAATACCGCTTCAGCATCATCATGGTCAATAAGTTTACCATCAACAAATGGCACTCGACATGTTGTAATTATACCTTTTCCATCAGCAATTTCAAGAGAAAAAGTAATTCGAAAATTGTTTCATTAAAATATTCTTGATTTCATATATTTATTTAGTCTGTTCCTCCTTCACCATGTAATGATTGTTTTCATTTTCATACATTTAAAGGAAATCGAATGGTAATTGAACCTTGTGGTGGACCTGATTGTGTTGCAATTATAAAAAGTCGTAATTTACGAGAAATTCAACCAAGTAGAAAATACGATTTTGAACAATGTGGAATGATTAATAAAAAAGATTATTCAATTGTAAATAAAGCATTACAGTTAAAAGTCAGCACAAGTGTTAAAAACACCTTACGTCCTGCTGAATATCCTTGGCTTGTAAGTCTTTTACATAATCAGATCTTCATCATTTATTAATACGAACTCCTTTTCTTTGTTTATTCAAGGTTCGCATAGAAAGTCGTTCGGATATGCTCTCACGTACAGTAACACTTTGTGGTGGAACACTCATCCATCCACAATGGGTAGTAACAGCTGCTCATTGTATGTTTGATACTAAGAAAGATAGACCTTATGCAACAAATGGCATCACTTTATATATGGGTCATTATGATCGTGCAAGTAGTAGCTTAAATGAGCATATTGCAAAACCTATTTTGTATTTGATTAATCCAAAATTTCGTATTTCTTTTCTATCACCAGCACCAATACATGATTTAGCATTGATTAAATTAGAAAAACCTGTACCATTATCACATTCTATTGGTGTTGCCTGTTTACCAGAACGAACAGATAAATTAGCTGATGGCACTTTAGCATTTACAGCTGGCTGGGGTCATGCATCACCAGAGTCAACAGCTGTTAATGAACCACGAAAAGCAAGATTAAAAATAGCACCAAGATCGTGTAGAAACTTAAGGATTAATCATAATTTGCATATATGTGGAAGAAATGATCGTGGAAATAATATTTGTAGTGGAGATTCTGGTACTGGTTTAATGGTACGTGCTGGTACTAAATCAAATAGAAATCAAACACAATGGAAATGGTATATATTTGGTGTAGCTAGTTATGGCCTTGAAGAATGTTCACAACATGTTAATCATGATAATGCATTTGCATCTATTCCAACAGATATTGACTGGATACATGAAGTTCTAGATAAATATTAATGTATTTATTGTCTTTTTTTTGGAACTCTTAAAAATATAAAATTTTCTTTTTTTTTTATCTCGTATTGAAAAAAAAAACAAAACACACGTGCTCCATATAATATGAGATGAAGGTCAACAATTTATAGTAGCATTGACGTAAAATAGAAAAAAAATGAGCGAAAGACCTGTGAAGCGTATCAATAATATATTTATCGTATACCTTGTTCATGGTCGTTGGTTTTCTCTTTCTGAATAGTCTTGTTATCGCCATCGTCTCTCATAATCAAAACTACACAGGGACACCTTGATTTATTTCAAAACAACATTATTTCATATTTTGTGAATTAACGAGAAAGAAAAAAAAACGTAGAAAACGAAGGCTTTTGTTATATTAGAAGGACTTATTCTATCGTCTATCTTGTAATACAAGCGCAACGTCGCCTCCTCTCTTTCCTTGAGTCGTGCATAGCACATTCGACATATCAGTTAAGCAGTTTCTTTTTTATAGACAGACGTCAATGTTAAGTGGGAAACTACAGTCGTCACGGTCACCATCTGAATCAGTTATATCTGGCTCTATACATTCAGAACCGTCACACGAGCTAACTGGACATTTGTCTCGTCATTCATCGGTTTCTGACGGGCAACCAAAGCAGAGTAAGTCCTGAATGAATGATCAGAGATCGAATACTATCTACAACTTGAGTTGATATTATTTAGTTGTAACAGCAATACAAGCAAGCCCTCTACCATCAGCTTTTTCTAAAATGTCAAAATCACCTTCAACACCGAAAAGTAGTATTTCTGATATAGTGACGCGAATGCCAACTCTAACTACTACAAATATTCAACACCTTGATGCACAACATTTAAATGGCGATGACAAGAAAAGAGCTTTCCAAAAAACTCATCAACACACGAAAACACAATCCAAACCAAAACATACAACATCAGCAGTAAACTATCGTCGAGTTAGTGCACATGATATAGAAAATGAAGAACCAAGATCAACATTTATTCCACATAATCGTGGAAGAAAAAAACATCGAAGTATTTTTGAAAAAGTTGATTTACATAGCGGACGTACAACTTATTTGGGTTGTGGTTCATTTTCACAATTAGAAGATTGTATCAGTGATTGTTTAACACGTGATCAACGTCATAAAAGTATTGAAATTTATGCTACAAAACGTAGTGATCCATTACGATGCTTCACACGTGCATCTGTACTTGAAGATTATTGTTATGACGGAATTATATTACCAAAATGTTGTAAAATTCGTTCAACAAGTTGTGATCCTTGTCGTTGTGATTATTGTGTAGTTGGTTCGAGAAGTTGTGATCCTTGTCGTTGTGATTATTGTGTTATTCGCTCGAGTAGTTGTGATCCTTATTGTTGCGATTATTATAAGAAATGTGCAGGTGAACTTTCTCTTCCAGAAATTCGTGAAGTTAATGATGCTCTTGACAAATGTGGTATATCTGTTTTTTCACGCCATCTTCATTCTGATCATAAATCACATACTGCCCGTGATATTGCTTCGGCATGTGAACTTCTACTTTCAGATCCACAATTTGCAGCATATAAACATGGAAGTCCAGCTGTGTCACATGTTTGGGATGCTATGCGTCATTATCAACCACCTCCAGCCGTAGCAAATGTTTGGGATGCTATGCGTCATTATCAACCACCGCCAGTTGCTCCTAGCTATCCGCCACCATCTCTTCCTCCTAGCTATCCGCCACCATCTCTTCCTCCTCCTCCTCAACTGCCATACGGTCCAAGTCCAGGTGGTGTACCGAATATTTTCAATCCTCCTCCACAGCCTCCATATAATCCGGGTCAAATGGGTGCACCGAATATGTTTGGTCCTCCTCAACCACCTCCATCCAGTTCTGGTTCAGGTGTTTTATCGCGTCTATTTGGTGGTGGTGGCGGTGGTGGACCACAACAACCACCACCACCCATGCCCCCACCCATGCTCCCACCATCACAACCACAGCAACCTCCATCCGGTGCTGGTCAAAGTGTTTTATCACGTCTATTTGGTGGTGGTGGTGGTGGACCACATTAACCACAATATCCCGTTTAGTAATCAGTATATATGTATTGATCGATTTCCTACCAATGAAAACATACAGACATACAGACACACTAAAACACACTTTCAATAACACTTTTTTTTTTACTTAGATAAACTATATTCATAAACACAACTATGTACTAAAAATATTGTTTACTTTGTAATGTAGATTCAATAAAGTAAGAGATACAAAGAGTAGATAGACATATAATATCAATCCTGAATTACCTCATTAAAAACTATTTTATGTTACCATAAATTATTATGTGAATAAATCAAAAGAAGCTAAAGAAGGTTTCTATGAATACAATGATTAGACGAATTTTTGAGAAAAAAAATGCTAGTGCAATCAATGTAGATTTAAAATGTGAAATACGATGTAGCTGCTCTTGATAATCACACGGACATCGTATAATACTATCTATTTTAGGATACAATTCCTTCATCATCCTTTTAATTTATCCTCCAAAACGGGAATAAGAAAGTGCGCCACGTTTTATAACGATATGTGATTGATGTACGGCCTTTGATCATATATCAACGTCTGTCACGGTATATGACACAGTAAAAGAACGAGATATTGCTAAAATGTTTGTCACCGTATATGAAGCAGAGATAGAATCGATTCAAGTTTTTCACAATTTAAATCAAGTCTATTTCTGTTCTGAAAGAAAAAGAGTGGGTAGATCCAAATTTTTACTCCTATACTTCAACATGACTTTTAGGTCATGTTTCACAAAAAAACCACATAGATAATATTGTCACAAACGACGAAAGTTGGCTATTATTGTCAACATACACTAGTATGACAATATAGGTACTACTTGAATGGTTTTTTCGATCATGTCTTCTATATACGTTATAGAAAATTAAAAGATTTCGATTTATTTTGAATACTGAAATTATGCTATTTAAAATATTTCATCTTATATCTTGAATAGAATTTTCTAAAAATACTCTTAAGTACTTTATACTCTTAGTAACTCAAGAGTGTATTAATGATGATAGTCATTACTCTATTGTTGATACTTGATACTCTTATATCTGCTATGGTAGTATTGTGGACAAGGGCATTATGGACAAATATGATGCTGATGCAATCACAAATGTTTGTTTTTTTAAATGAGAAAAGGTTTATTTTTCTGTTGAGCAAAAATCATTGTGTGAATAATAGTTTAATATTTTAGATATCGAAGGTTCTATCTTACATTTCGAAATATCTATCAACATCGTACAATTTTGGCTGATTTCTATAATAATGATATCGTTTATTTTATAACAGAAGGCATTGAAATAGAACAAGAAAAATTATTGACGTTAGTGTCATTTTATAAAAAGCATTTGATGTTTCTCTATTCACTGTTTTAGTCTGTTCTATCTGAAGACATCTCATTTTATTATTCTAAAGTCATTCCAATAAAATGTGTGCTTAAGAAAGAGTAAACGTCCTGAATCGGATTTATAGATATTCTCTAATCTTTTTTTTTCAATTTATTGCAATATATTAAGGTTCAATGAATTCGTTTGTGTCGATGTAAATAGATCATCCGTTGATACAAATGGACATTCTAATGGCGTTTGGGGCTTTTCTATTGGGTGCTTTCTGTCGTACCTTTAAGTGGAACCGATAGAAGGAGGAGATCCACACAAGACGTAGAAATACATTTGTTCTTGACTTTTTTTGAGGTAACTGTCATATCTAACTATATAACTGATGAAACACAAGATTACTATGTAACCAAAAAAAAGAACTCATTGTAAAATGACAATAATATATAAGACATGATCGAAAAATTCAAATATTTTCTAGAACGACAGTTAGAAGAATAACAGATGTCTTGAGTAAATTCAAGGTAAGTTCAACATTTTATAAATGATAATTTATTATCTAATTCAAAGACGAGTCGTTTTTGAAACTAAAAATATTGCTAATAATCTACCATTATTTCCTGAAGTCAAATATCTATACTCATCAGCTCGAAAGATTTTTTTATAAAAATAATGAAATCAAATGTTGACCTTCGTACTTTTTCACAGACATGGTTATGGAAAGAAAATTATCTTTTTCAGTGGTTTGATACAAAATTTTGTCCTTATTTGATCTGTTTGTAACTTTCTTCGTCACGCATTTTACATGAAAGTGATAAGATAAGAAAAATGAGAAAAATATTCTCACAAGAAATTTTCAACGATTTTTATTGATTCATAAAAGAAATCTCATAAAACAACAGTTTATTATACTGATTAAGTATTTCTAACATGCATGTACAAAATTTTCACCAACAGAAATGATCATATAGCAAAAAATTATTTTGTTAAAAATTAAACAACTAATGACATCCATTGATATTTAAATTAATATTAGTTAGCCGAAGTTGCTTGAGTTTTTCAATGTCAATAATCGACTATTAGTTCTCATTTCGATCGAAAGATATTGTTGGACATCAGCCAAATGTTTAACAATGAATGCTAAAGACAAATCATTTGTTTCGGAATTTCTCTGAATAAATCAATAAAAAAAAAAAACTGTCTTTTCAGAACCGTGTCTATAAATAAATATAAATTTTGAGACAAAGTATTTATACAGTTTTGGTCTCCTTGATAATGTGTTCGAGGAGTTAAAAGCTATGGATTATGACCAGCATATAATGTACTTTCCAAATATGAATTTAAAAATTTTATTTTAGTTCATTGTTTACTTTGATCTGCTTGAAAGTATCTCAGACAAGGTAATAATCATGAGCAGATGACAAAAATCATCAGAGTCGAACGAACACTTCTTTTCAAAATATTATAATGAACTAATCTATGACTTTTACCGAAATGAAACTAGAGGCACTTTACTAAAAGTTTCTTTCTATATAAAATGTTTTTTGGTCAGAAAACGAGGATTTTAGAAAAACGAAAACTGAAGTAATGTGTAGAAAAACTCCGATAGTATATTTTTTTTAATCTAATTTCTGTTCTACGAGTTGATATATTCATACCCCATGTAAAAATTGATAAAAATTTAACGATGTTAACGAAAAAAGATGTTACATTTTTGACCGTGAAAACACGTTAAAAATTTGTTTTTAACGAAACTTCACGAGTTATTTCACGTTAAATTGTTTCTAACGAGAAAACACGCGTGGAGTTTCGTTAAAAGCAAATTTTTAACGCGTTTTCACGGTCAAAAATGTCACATCTTTTTTCGTTAACATCGTTAAATTTTTATTGATTTTTACATGGGACAGATGTGAACATTTGCTTTCGACTTACCAGAATGAAAGTAAAGAAACATATGGAAAACTTGTCCATTCAAACTATTGATCATCTGATTTGTCTCAAGAAATTTTCTAAGTCTATATATTGGAAAGAACACAAAATTCTTGTCATGAACTATTGATTATGACTTCTCGGTAATATTTGCAAGGTGGTCAAAAATAAACAAATATTTTGTGTCAAAATTTGTCATCCATCTGTTAATAGCTAATTTCCAATATTGAAATTTATCTAGATAGCTAATGTCTAATCTTTTACATACAACATGATTTTGTATTTTACACATCGTTTTTTGCTGCATAAAAACTAAGAAAAAAAGTCATCTACAGTTATTTTAGTCCTTGTTTACTGAATATCTCTTGAAAACATCATGATATAGATAAATCTCATTTATTTTTCATTATGTATAACAAACAAAAACTAGAACAAACAGCATCTGTCAATTTATGTCTAAAACAAATAATGAATAAACTAACGAAACTCAATACGAATCGACGAAGAATATACTATTGTAAAAAAATAATGATAGCAATGAAAACCATGTTTATTATTTATTATATATAATATGACTCAAATAAAGATCGTCAAAATCATATGATGCTAATATTCTATTAATATTTAACTATTGTCAATGCTATATGGTATTTATGAAGAATCTATCGAACAATATACTGTTTTTACATGAAGGCGATGTCTAGTAAAAAAACTACAGACTATATTATGATTCATCCTTTGACTTTTTTCGTCTAAAATTTGAAAATAATATTCTGTTTTTATTATAAACTATGACGTCGAATTGTTTTTTAGATGAAACCAAAATAAAAAAAAAAAATTTCAATAATGCAAATGTGCATTTGATGTGTTTGTTTAACAAAGCAAACAAATAAAATCAATTCAAAACAATCATTCCATATATGAATCCTTGCTGACATAACTAAAATCGAATACTTATGGATTAAAAATTAGTCGTACATGTAAACTAGACGTGCACATCGACCTTATTTCGAACTGAAAGACATGAACGAAACTATTATGAAACTAAATTGTTTCAGTCAAGAAAATTTCGTCGATCAGTCATTTATCAAAAAAAAACTAAAACAATTGCATATTATATTGTTTATTTATAATTATGAAAATAAACTTCGTTGAATAAATTTGCTATTCAAAGTATTCACAGTATATCGAAACATACAATCACAGCATAAAACATAATATTCTTTTCTATTATGATTTTGTATTTACAGTAAATATCTAATACACAATTCAGAAAAGAAAAAAGAAAAGACTACCAACTATAAAAATAAAAAAGAAAGAACAAATTAGCAAAGTCACAAATGTTCAGTTCACAATGATTTACAGATTATACTGTTCCATTTATATTACAAACAGTAAAATAAAAGATATTTACAGTTTATGACTCGCTAAAATATCACCGGTATACAGTTAAATAGAGTTGTATTAATGACTAATATGATAAAATGCTGACAATATTTCATTGATTTATCATTACAGAATAGTCATTTTATACATTATGAACTGTATCTTCGGTGTCGATTTATATTACAAGGAATAGCTTTTTTATCAGTTTGATGAAATGCATCCGATGAATTTGATCTTTTATGAGTTTGTGATGATAACGTTGATACTGAAATAAACAAATTCATTAATATTACATCTAAAGTATTTAAATACAAGTTTACTTTGAATATGCACGTCAATATGGATTGCTTCATGAGTATTATCAACAGCAGCTAAACAGAAAAAAAATTTTCATCAATGAAAAAAGAAATCAAATGAATTTAATTACCAGCAACTATTGGATTTGGAACAGTGACTTCCAAAGATGGAGCTTTACAAATAAAAAAACGACATTCATTATATTTGAAAAGAAAGGAAAAATAACTTTAAACATACCAGTCACTAGTGGAACAGGTGGATTATTCTCTAGTTGATTAATATGTACATTATTATTAGGAAGATCTGTATTTGAAATTCTTTGCATGTCATGTACGTCTAAAATTCGAAAAATTTATTTTTCATATTTTACAAAGAAAAAAATATATATATATATCTATACCTTCAACTTCATTGTCATTTTGAGTAAGATCAATTGTTACAGGAGATACAACCGCAGTCAATTGTACTTGAGTCACTTCAAGAAAAAAAATCAGGATTATTCTTTTTCCTAATGAAAAAATAGTTGTTGTCTATACCTTCATTTACATGGATTTGTTGAGGTAGCTGCATTATATCAATATGTTCCCCATGATCGTTATGAACTTCATGGCCTTTAATAATTATATCAAAATTTATTAAAGTCTATGATATTATATTGTTTAACTTACGAAGAGGTACAATTTCAGCTGGAGATTCTGGTATTTGAATGGGTATAGTTTCTATATTGAGTAATTGGATGTCTGATAAAAAAAACGAAGAACGTAGTTTGTTAACAATAATTCGTATAACTGTACTTACTATCATCTTCATTTTGAACAAGTTCCGCAACTGTTTCACGCTCATAGTTCAAAGTAGGATCATACGGTATATAATTATTATCAGTAACATCTTAAAATCTATAGGTAACAGTTTTATTTACTCGATAAAACACTTACTTTGAACTGTTGGAGAAAATTCTATATCAAAATCAACAATATTTACATAAGTTGGATCTATAAGTAAAAGAATTACCGCAATAGATAAATTAGTATTTGACTGTTTAGCTTACTTGGAGCAAATGGGGTTACAACAGCAGGTTCTAAAAAGACAAATTAAATCCATATTGATGTACTCTATATAAACTTACCACCATGATGTCCATCTAATTCTTGTGTTTGAACGCCAAATCTCTGATCATCGATGACTAAAAAACAAAAATATTAAATTAAATTAAATTAAATTTCATATGGTATATATTTATCTAATAACATTTATTCTATATATATATACACATGAGGAATAAAATTGCAATTATAATGATAGATATTTCTATTGCTAAATATTAGTTTTGAGAGAAAAAATAAATTTTACCAATAGGAATATCGACTATCTGTAATGGTTCAGCGTAGCCCAGTTGAATAGGTCTTTCAATTTCATTGAAAGGAAATGGTACAGGAAAAACATCCATATTTGGTGCAGCCACAATTAAGTTATCTATATTAACCATATTCAAATCATCATTATCCATTGATTCAGATGTAATAAATTATTAATTAATAATTTAATATAATCTATAAAACAAAAGAAATCATTTTAATCAAGAAAATATTTTCTATTGATTTTTAGTTTCAAATATTACATTTGTTCTCAATGCTATATTTCAAACATATTACCTAGCATACATAATTTTTTTTCATGCAATTTTATCGTAATGGTTTTACTATTCTTTTTTTTTTCCTACTTATGAAAGTCGTTCACGAGACTATTGACGTCATAGGCAGCATAAGCACGAAGAAAAGAAATTTGGTTATAAAAAAGACGAAAATTATTTGTTATATTGTTGTATGCAAATCGAAATCATAAAGTCTATGAAAAGAATACAGAAAAAAAAAACAAACGAAAATTTGCTGACGATACTAAGAAGTATAAGCATATAATCAATTGAAGTGCTTTTGTTATAGACATTGATTAACGTTATCTGCCGATTTTTTGTCAGCTACGTAAATTTATTTTCAAAATCAAGCAAAGATCATGAGATCGATGAAAGAAATACGAAAAAAAAAACAAAAATTCGATAACGATGTTAGGAAGTATACTATACAATCACTTCACCTACACTTATTACTAATTTTCGACAATGTCGTCTGCCAATTTTTATCAAATACGTAAATCTAGTTTAAAATCACGAGAAGAAGCATGAGATCTATTTAAAGTATACCAAAGAAACAGAAAATTTGCCGACGATATGAGCAAATATAGCAATACAGTCACTCCCTTTCTGCATGTCTCACACGTTTTCGTCAAGGTCATCTGCAGACTTATTTTTCATCGACGCAAATTATGCTTTGATCTCGGTTATGAAGTCTGGTCAAAGGTATTTTCAAGTACAAAGAATAAATAGATCATAAATAACATTGATTCAAGTTTTTTACACAATCGGCAAATATGCATAAATTAATAAATAAAGAAAATCATGAAATACCAGTAAATAGAAGTTTATTCATTCTTTAGTGTGTTTTCAATCTTATGTAGAGAACATCCGAGAAGATATTTTTTGTGATTACAAATAAATATAATAACTGAGTCGTTGATAAAACTTCATATATTTTCAAGATCAATTAAATCTTAAGAATATTTTAACAAAATATTAAATTAGCTTCTTTTTTTAGAATAATCAATAGATGGTGCCTTCTCTTTTGATTTATTGTAGTAGATGGTTTGTACTCATATCATGTTTTTCTTATCAGTGCCGGCGGTAAACTACCGTTGTTTTCAAAAACAACCACAATGATTCAAGCGACCTACGCTTCTTTAATTGTTTTTCTTAAAACGTAATATTCATCTCTGTTAACAAATGTCAATTTCTACTTAAAAAATAAACGAACGTCGATTTGATTGTCATTGCAACCTATATCCAATCATCGTACAAACTAAATAAAAAGGGGGCGCTCGGTGGTTGCCTAGACTTTCATATAATTGAATTTGAAGGGTGTCTATTATTCAACTCATATTACATATTTATATCATAGTGTACTATGATTTAATTTACATGATTATTTCCCTATACAATTAGATAAATAAAAAGCCTTGTACAAATCTACTCTGTTAGAAGTTTCTTTTACGTCAGCACAGCTTATAGGTAGTGAGGGAAGCCTTTGTTTCGGATTTGAAAATTTAGCGAAACTCAAATAATCTACTCTCTTCTATCTCAAGTACTGAATTACGTCTCTGGTGTTCGATTACAAAAAAAATGAAAATAATATTTTCTATGTATGAGAGTTGATTTACTCTTATTCATTTAAAGTGGACATTGATAAACATCCATCATGAGAAAGTAAAGATAAATAAATTATTTATTTTTTAGAATTGAAAATATATTTAAAAGATCTACAATTGATTTTTGTTTTCTATAACATGTTTTTGTTATTTTCATTTTTTTTATTTTAAAGACACGATACGAATGAGTTAACACTTCTAGATAATATTAATGAAAAGGTTTTGATTAGTGTTATTTGAATTTAACAATAATTTTTTTAATGTGCAGAAAACGATTCTTATTTATAAGACAAGCATTAAGAAAAATAGTTATAGATATTTAGAGAAAACAACGGCATTTTTTCTATTTTCAAGACTAGAAATTATACTTACTATATAATCATTGGCTTACTATTTGTTGTGAGACGCGCACATACTAAAACAATATTCAGACGAATGAATGTACAGACAGTGGCGGCGCGAAGAGGTCAGAGCGGGGGAGTGGGGGGAGGGGTTCCCGAAAATCGGAGAAAGTAGCCTAAAATTTTTCGTAAAATTTATAAAATTTGTTCGATTATCTTTTACCAAAATCGGAGAAAACTGTTTCATAATCTCTCTAAATTAGGAAAAAATCTTAACTAGAATTCTCAAGGCAGGAGGGTACCCTTCCCCAATCCCTCCCGCTCGCACCGTCCCTGTGTACAGAAGAAATAGAAGATTAAATCCGTTTGTAAGCGTATCAGATCTTTGACACATACTTAATATACAAGAATTTAATAATAGAGTATGATACCATTTCGTGTTTTGCTGCAAGTATCTCTGACGACAAAAAAACATACAGAAAGCAAAAGAGTGGCTAAAAATACTTTCTCCCACAGTGGGTATTGCTCTTAAACACAAAGTCCATCAAATAAAAACAACAGTTTAAGTTAACATAATAAACTTTCTTTTTTACATCACTAAAATAACACATATGTTGATTCATTTTGAAAAAAAAAAATCAAATACATTAAACGTTTATTATTCTATTGTTTTTTTTTGATAAATTAATGATAGATTATTCCGTTTAAACGCCCACTATTTTTGGTAACACTCAACAATTCAATGTTAATCGTTAACAACAATACAAACTTCCTTTTTGTTTTCTTTATAAATCTATATTAATCTCTATGTTCTACTTGAAACTTTTCAATGATGATCAATACGAGCTTGTCACGTGGCAGCTTGCCTCTTTCTGTTCTTTATTGAGTTTCTTCTTACTCGAGTAGGCAATAAATAAAAGAAATACGTGTTATGTGTGTTGTTTAACGAACAAAATAATAAGGAATCTCATAGATGATGGATACTGTTTGTTAATTTATATATGTTTTCAAAATAGAGTCCTACGAGACCATATCGAATCATGTTTGTCCTATATCGTGAGAAAATCAACATTATCACAAATAGGACATTTCGAAAAATTATAAGTACATAATACTAATTTGAATTTATTTTTCGATAATTATATTAAAAAAAATAAGTTTTATTGCAGTCATTATTTCTCAACAAATCTTTTATATCAATTGAGTGATTTTTTTTTCTGCTCTTTTTATTTTGATAAATAAAAAATGCAAATAGACCATTGGCGGGGATTAATATTGAACATTAATAAATAGAAAAAGTAATGATAATATGTTCATAGTCATTAATGAAAAGTACTTTCTGAATTTGGATTGTTTTTTTGTAATATTTTCTTATTACACAACATGCTGATGCATTATCTTATAGAAGTTTTTCAATGACGCACATTTTTTTTCTCGTCCACTGAAGAACAATCAACGAATCAGAAATAATTAGCAACTTTAATCATTCATTTCATTACATCACTATGACTTTATAAGAATAAATAAATGACGACACAATGTTATTCAGTTGATTTTTGATTAATATCATTATTCTTATAAAACAATTCACGATGATGAATGAGGTAGTTTTTTTATGTGTATGACATCATTTATTCATGGTTTATTTTATTTTATGCGTATCAAATGATCATTTTGGTTATTTCGATAAGATATAACTTTGTCTAGTTATGTTTAATGTATATTAAAATCAATGACTATATTTTGATAAACGAAGGTCATTCTGACCTTTTCTCCATGTCTGACGAAGGAACATTCCCAAGTGATTCGCTCTGCTTTGATTTGTTCATATCTCATTCGATAGAGTATATTGAGATAAGAAATATCCTAAAAGGATGTGTGCCCATGGCCTAGTAGTAAGGAGTTATGGCCGTTTTACTGAAATTTTTACTGTGAGCCAGGCATTACGGAAAAAACCAAAATGAAAAATTTCGAACTGAAATTCTATATATAGATAGATTTAATAGTCATTATATAGTCATGAAAGTTTCAACGAAAACGAACATGTCTTTCTCGAGTTGTTCAACTTTTAAAAAAAAAGGTATTTACCATAGAAGGACACAATAATCCAGTTTAGTTGGAAATTGAATATCTCGAGAAAGACATGTTCGTTTTCGTTGAAACTTTCATGACTATATAATGACTATTAAATCTATCTATATATAGAATTTCAGCTCGAAATTTTTCATTTTGGTTCTTTCCGTAATGCCTGGCTCACAGTAAAAATTTCAGTAAAACTGCCATAACTCCTCACTAGTAGGCCATGGGCACGAATCCTTTTAGGCTATTTCTTGTCTCAATATACTCTATCGAATGACTTACGAATGAATCAAAACAGAGCGAATCACTTGGGAATGTTTCCTCGTGAGAAATATTCACTAAGAATGAAGCACTGTCACATCTGTAATTATAAAATAAAAAATCTACTTTGCAAATGGACTATGCACATAGTATTAAAAATCAACTTTACAAACACCTGAATAATCAGTTTGCATAAGTAAATAAAGAAAAAAAAACGCTGTTTTTTTTACTCATGTACTTAGACAAGAAATCATGAAAAGATATTTA